AACCCCCCCCAAACGCATCCATCACCATCTCCGCCGCGCCCGTGTCCGCCTCGGAGCTCGCCGCCCAGAAAGCCGCCGCCGCACCAAAACAAAACGCCGTCAGATCGAGAGAAGAGGAGGCGGAGGCGGAACGCGAAGAGGAAGGGAGGAGGTTGGAGCAGGAGTTCGAGGTCCAGGAGGAGATGGAACTGAGGGTGAGGCGGTTGAGGGAGGCGAGGGAGAGGATACGGTTGATTGGGAAGAGGGAGTGGGTTGGAGACGGTGATGGTGGTGGTGGGATTGCTCGTGGAGGAGAGCGTACGGATATGGGAAAGGGTGCTGAGGCCGTGAAGGAAGGGCTGGGGTATGACAATGGTAATGGTGAGGGTGAGGGTGAGGGTGAGGGTGAGGACGAGGACGAGGACGACGATAATACTGATGAGTTTGACGGATGGGGTGTGCAATGAAACCCATTCATTCAATAAATCGATCAGGGTCAAGATTGGAAATTCTGGTTGATTAGCTTATAGCATAGCAGTGGTTAGGGATACCCTTGTGTGGCGTCGCCGCCATACCAAGTGAAGTGAGATACTAAGTATTACTAAAGTATCTTCCAGGATCGACGGTATATACTATGAATGATATTCTATGATTCTAGCCTCGTATCTCATGTCTCATACCGGCCTAAGTTCTGTTCATAAGTCCTGTAATTATAGATAGTGATGGACCCTCGTCCTCACTAGTATAGAAGGAAATAGAAAGGGGAGGTATGGAAACCCAAGATAAGAAAGATTACCCATCCATCCATCTCGCTGGGAACAGGGACAAGATCTTCTGCAAAGTGCTTCACGGCGGTATACGTTTTCTCCAAGATCTGAATATCTTGTCACGCGACCTTCATAGAGCGAGGCCGGGCCATTTAGATGATCGTGGTAGCTTTGCTTGTGTGCAGTCATACCATCCAGAGACAGGATAGACGGTGATCAGTTGGGGAATCGTGGTTCTTGCTAGCAAGAAGCAATGAGCCGAAGAAGCTTTCCAAGGAAGGGGCCGGTTGCGCAGTCCGCGAATGAAAGATCCAATCTTCAGCATGTTTCGTGCTGATGGTAAACACGGTCTGCGTTGGACAGGTAGTAATTGAGAGCAAGAGCAAAGCTGTTTGATTGTCCGATCGGGAAGATACCTCCGTGCAATAGATATCTTCAGCTCAGGCTCAACACTCCTCGGGGAGCTCTCCAACCACATCTTCGATCTCAGCAACGGCGCTGACCTCGTTCTTCTCATCAACAATTCCTAGCACAGTTCCCTTTTTCAGGAATGTCCTGCCTCGACCTTGCTTCCGCATATTCAATATCCATTGCTTTGCCTCATCAACGGGGCAACTTCCCAGAACAGAAATCCAGTCTTGTTTCTCGATGACGGCAGGATGAAGACAACTGATGATTTCTGCCGTGTCTTGCAGCTGCTGGACCCTGCGAGGAGCCATGATATGTATTGGAGATATGCGCACCCAACCGCGAGGTGAACGCACTGCTGCCTGCAGCACGTCAATGCCTGTTAAGGATAGGGCACCGGGTTTGGGGATTGCAAAAGTGGCATCTTCAACCGGCGTAGCGATATCAGACATAGAGACTGGAGCGGCTGGTTTGGGAACAAGTGCGGCCGCTGCAGCACCAATAGCACCCCCTGGGTGGTTGAGCTGGAAAACCTCAGCAGAGCTTTGACCCATGGCAGTATGTACTTTCTGGGCAACCGCAAGAGCGAGCGCGTCACCCAATGCTAGAGCGACAGTTGTTGATGTTGTTGGCGCAGAAATGCGAAAGGAGGTCTTTTCTGATTCGTGGATTGGCGCAGGGAGGAGGAGACTGTTTCCTCGGTTGGCAAGAAGTGGACAAGAGGATGGGTGGATATGAGAGGTCATAGCGATCAAGGGGATGTTGTCGGAGATGTGTGGTAGAAGTGCTAAGAGTTCGCCGGTAGAACCCGAGTACGAGATCATCAGAATAGCGTCGTTCTAGAAAGCTGTCAGCTCAGCAGATGGCCATAAGGGGAATAAGCGAGACGAACCTGCTTGATGGTTCCCAGATCACCGTGGAGAGCATCTGTTGGATAGAGGAATGTCGCATCCACTCCTAAGCTTTTGAAAGTCGCTTCAATCTTCTGCCCGATCTTACCACTCTTACCGACACCTGTGATGACAAGCTTGCCGCCGTTATTGAAAGTAGCTGCGATCTGATCAATTGCTTGCGAAAGTGCTTCCTGCGCAAATAGATTGTTCTGGTAGAGATTCTCGAGATGCGCCAGCCCAGCTCTTTCCGTCGACAAGACCTTCAAAGCGAGCTTGATGGGCGACTTGGCAGACTTTTCAATGTTTGGTGTGCTCTGAACAGAATCCGGAGGCGTCATTGGCAGTGGCGGGATAGCATCTTGGACGGCTGGCAGCTGGGTAGGGAATGACGGCGAGCTGGGTGTGGGCAGCTGTTCACGAGCTGGAAGGACAAGTCCGGCCATTGTAGAAGATTGGATCAGGGGCTCTGGTAGTCGTAGGCGAGTAAACTAGCGCACACAGTTGACTTGATCACCAATGCGATAACAAGTAAATATACAGAGCGAGTCGTCCCACGATGGTATCGAAGCTCATGGAAGCGTGCACATCTTGGCTAGAGCTCCATGATTACTAAATCGCAAGAAGGCAAGACACCTCCCCAGGCTCACTCCAACCAAGTACTTAGTAGACGTGCCTTGAACAGAGAGAAGCAAGCGGTCAGAACCAATGAACAACACTCAGGTATTGAGTGCAGACATCATGACGCACTCCAAAAGGTGCTGATAGGAGAGTTTGACAAATGACTTGATGGGAGATTGGGCAGCTTTATGGAGGACAGTAACGAAAATTGCGCCATGTTGGATTCGATGAAATGAAAGTAATCTGCCTGACCAGATACGGGGCTGATTTCTTCGGTTGACAATGGATGTTTTTCTGGCCGAAGAGACCTCGCCCAGGATGTACAGTAGTGTGGAAGCGGAGCGACGTTTAGTGCGCGATAGGGACTGGATCATGATAAGCTTGCTGCATGTCCAATCCTTCCGATCCCGAGGGAGTCGAATCGGCAAAGCACCTTGAGCTCTTAACCCACTATTTTGGTAGGTTGAACTGAAGGAGGCGGCGGTTGGAGCATGAACCTTGAGCTATGAACCATAAGTTCCAGAATTAGTAGCCAGGTCCTCGGCAAGGCGGTGACTCCTGTCTCCGCCGCCTCCCGAAGTCAGGGTCCGGAGGTCCATTTGGCATGACCAACCAAGTTGAAGCCGTCATAGACATTTCTGTCGTAACGTGTGCCAAACGCAGTGTCATCTAAGCAGAGACGGGGGCGTTGTGATGTCCTCATAACGGCCCAGAAATCCAAGAAAATGGCCAAGGTCAGCAAAGAAAGAGGCTGGAGGCAGCAATACGGTAATACCGCCTGCGGTTCTCGAGGCTGACCTGCGCGATTTGATTACGTGCTCCGATGCCAAGAAAATGTCAAATGTCTCGATCACATGTCACAGTCGTTACAGGAGCAGTATGTAGTATGCTTGGAGAACGGAGATAAAGTAGCAACCTTACCGTGCTAACGATCGCTGGCTAGAATCGTGGAATCGGGCATGCAATATGCCGGCTGATTGCAGAGAATGGCCCGTCCGGAATAGTCTATGCCTCCTCACGAGCAGGCGTGGACTTGGCCCTTCATAGTACTCGAGGAGTCTATTTTCGATATGCCATACTCGACCTGACCAACCCATCAAGCATCGAGCATCTTGCATGGATCATAAAGGATGAGCAGGGAGACATGGATGTCTTGTTCAATGTTGCTGGCCTGAACATCATGAAGCCCCGGACAGGGTCGAGAGCATTTGCTGACAATAAAAAGATCATGGATGTCAACTTCCATGGCACGCTCCAGATGTGTCTGGCCTTTCTGCCAATCATGAAGCCTGGCAGTCGCATTGTGAATTTGTCATCTGTGGCATCGTCCCTGGGATCGTATAACCAAGACCTGCAGGCACGTTTTCGTGATGCGCACCTGGCCATATCGGGCCTGCAATCGTTGGCTGCGGAATATGAGGCACGGTCTCCCCTACTGAAGGAATGCACGAGATTGACACTCAACTAGCAATCCGCAAAAGGTAGTCGAGCTGCGCAAGATGGATGGCCTGAGAGCGGCTATTCAGTCAGCAAGGCTTGCATCAACGCCATGACCGCCATCATGGCCAGAGAACATGCTGATATCCTGGTGAATGCCTGCTGCCCTGGCTGGGTGTCCACTGAAATGGGAAAGCAAGTTGGGGCACAACCGCCCAAGTCAGCGAGTGCGTAACGTGGTCCCTTTTATTGTTGGTCTCATTGACTGATATCATGGTAGTTGAAGGAGCAAGCATTCCGCTGCGTTTGGGTTTCGAAGACATTGGCCATGTCAGGGGCAGATATTGGGCCAATGACTTTGTTGGAGACACGGACAACGGCCGAGTGCAGAATTGGTAGAGCTAGACAAGAGAGGTAATTGCCAGGTCCAAGCGTACAACATCATCGGCAAGAAAATGAAACTTAATTCAATTCTCCTTTGCAGCACTGAGACCCAAAAGGGTAATTGAGGTGATGCTTATCCAGACTTAAGCCTAGCAAGAAGCGATGACGTAGTACCATGGTGCGCAAGCTGGATTCAACAGAGCGAACAGAGCGGTGGGTGGCGTGGGTGGCTTGCTTCCCGGTACAGTTCCAGATCATCGAGGTTGCAGCTCACACGTAGAATCGCCTGGGACGGGTTTGGTAGGGTATTTGCAGCTGGAAGCGGTGCCAGTCGCATGGTAAAGATGACAGTGATGTTTTCATGCTCAACCTTCAAACCTCGTCTCATCCAAATCTCCTCCAAATCTCCTCCGTTGGCCAGTGGCTCATTGCGATGTGGCTGCGACCCATCCAGTTCAAGATCCTTGTTTAATCCCAGTAACTAGTGCTACTTAAGTAGTAGTACCTAGAAGGGCTGCGGGAAGAAAAGCTTGACGCTATCAGCTCTGATTCATGCAGCCTACCACCAGAATTCCGATGCCATGTGTTGACTGAGATCAGACAGAGCAAACACGTGTAATGAGTAGCAGTAGACTGTACTCCGTAAATAGTAGCGGATGACAACCCATGAGGCCGTCCTCAGAGACTGACTTCAGTGGCTCAGGGAAGGACGAGTCGGGGCAACCAAGACCCAATGATGCATTGGCGCAGTTCCCGGGCAGGGGCCAAATTATTCTGGAATACACATGGACCGGCAAATGGTGATTATCCCCATAAAGATATGATCTAAGACCAGCAGGACACAGTCCAGCCAAATAAACAAGTTGGCCAACATTGTTATTCTGTCAAAAACCTCTTCTGTGTCGACAATCCATAGCAACGGCACGAAGGCAGCCCATCATCCACACTCGTCCCTCATTGCCTCCTACCGGAGGTCCTTTTCAACTCCTCCCAATTTGTGCGCAATTCAAAATACTGTGTGTTCTGTGACGGAACCGGAAGCTCCCTTTTGCTCGCTGAGGTTGAACTTGCTCGACACTGGCAACCTGTTCTGGATTTGATCGCCCCCAACAGTCGACGTCTCTGCTTTTGCCACCTCCTGTCCCTCGAAACCAGTTTTTGGGGGACAACGACTCATCATTCGAAGAGCTCGGCGACAACCGCGGAAATCATACTCGCAGTTTTGCGGCCTTTTCAAGCGCCTTAGATGTGGATAAAGCACTTATTATGGTGAATGGGACAAGCTGAGCGAGGGGGTGCTTGCAGGCATTCTAGGTGGTCACCCGTACCTGTACGCTGAGCGCACCTGGAGCAGAATTACTTATAGCCCTGGTATCGGTACGACTGGACACAAATGGGCATCTGACGGACCATGCCAGCCGAAGAACACTCTCAGGATCCTTCCTCATCATCTGTTGCTTCTTCCGCTCATGGAGAATGGACTTCACGTCATCGCCAGGGATCTATCTCAAGTACCCCACGCCCGGTCCGCGAAACAAGTCCACGTAGTCCGGGAATTGGGATGATGCCTAGAACGAGCTCTGTGAGCATCTTTTCTGGTGCTACAGATACGCCATCTTCCCCTAATCTAGACCCTAGAAACTCTACCCTTAACCCTAAAGTTGCGGATCGTGTGTTTCCCGTCCGTTCGGTCGTCTCCGTCGATCCTACAGCGACGCCAACGCCACGGGGGGAAGGGGAAGGTGGAGATGGCTTTCCGGACATGAGTTTCAATGGTGGCATTGAGTCTAGGAGACAGAGTATACGACAAGACACACTCGCGGGTAGCACATCACAAGGTCAATACGCGCAATCTCCAGAGGCTCAAACACCTGCCAGACGTCATAGTCCCAGTGCTTTGTCACTGTCCGCCATGTCAGAAGACCGGTGCAGACGCCGCTCTTCAGACACGACTGCTGCAAGTAGTGCTAAAGGCACCACCCATCAAGAGATTAGCAACCTGATTGCAGACGACGCTTCTGTAAGATCAGAGAGGGCATCGGTCACTGAAGCGGGCTTTTCCACGTCAAGCAGGCCGTCAAGCAGGCCGGAGTCGGTGCGAAGCGTACCTAATGAAGCCCATGTAACAGCTCGTTTCAAACATGTCGTTATGGATGGTGGTCATGCAGTTATCACAGGCAGGGATGGGGACACCCTACAGAGATGTGAGGACGAGCCAATCCACATTCCAGGCGCGATTCAAGGCTTTGGTCTTCTTATAGCTCTGAGAGAAGAGGCTGGCAAACTTGTCGTTCGAGTGGTTAGTGAAAATTCTGCCAAAATCATTGGCTACACTCCTGGACAATTATTTCAACTTCCGAACTTCCTGGACCTCTTCACAGAGGAGCAAGCTGATAATCTACTGGATCATTTGGATTTCATCCGCGATGAATCCGCGACTGACCCCGCTATCAATGGCCCCGAAGTCTTCATGCTTTCCATTCGAGCTCCGAGAAAGAAGACACGGAAGCTATGGTGCGCAATGCATATAAATGAGTCAAACAAGGACCTCGTAATCTGCGAATTCGAACTCGAGGATGATACCCAGAACCCGTTGGTACCGGTTGAGGAGGATGGTATTTCTAACGTCCCTGAGAACACGTTGGGTAGCGATCCTACCCCAGAAGAAATTGCAGAGAGCACCAAAAATGTCAGCAAACCACTGCGTGTGCTTAGGAGCGCCCGGAAAAAGAGGGGTGAGGCAGCTGCAATGGAAGTTTTCAATATAATGACACAAGTTCAAGAGCAGCTTGCCAATGCCCCTTCGTTAGAAAATTTTTTGAAGGTCCTGATTGGAGTCGTAAAGGAACTGACCGGCTTTCACCGTGTCATGATCTATCAATTCGATCACAGTTTCAATGGCCGCGTCGTGTCCGAATTGGTAGATCCAAGAGCGACCAAGGACTTGTATATGGGTCTTAACTTCCCGGCATCTGACATTCCGAAACAAGCAAGAGATCTCTATCGCATCAACAAGGTGCGACTAATGTACGATCGGGACCAGGAGACTGCCAGGCTGGTTTGTAGGACCATGGAAGATCTTGAGAAGCCCCTCGACATGACCTTCACTTATCTACGGGCCATGTCTCCTATTCATGTCAAATACCTCAGTAACATGGCAGTCAGGTCGTCCATGTCCATATCAATCAATGCGTTCGGTGAACTCTGGGGACTCATTGCTTGCCATTCGTACGGTCAAAAAGGCATGAGAGTTTCGTTCCCCATTCGCAAAATGTGCCGGCTTGTTGGAGACATCGCATCGAGAAATATCGAACGGATCTCATACGCATCCAGATTACATGCTCGAAAACTGATCAACACAGCATCCACCACAGCTAATCCTTCTGGGTACATCGTTGCCTCGTCGGAGGACCTCTTGAATCTGTTCACTGCCGACTGTGGAGCACTCTCGATTCGTGATGAGACAAAGCTACTTGGCAAAACCGAGGGTCACTTGCAGGAGATACTAGCAATGCTGGAGTTCCTTCGTCTACGAAAGATAGGCTCTGTGTTCACCTCAACTGATATTTCCACGGATTTCCCAGATGTCCGATATGCACCGGGATTTCAGTACATTGCGGGCCTTCTGTTTGTACCCCTCTCCAGTACCGGTAGCGATTTCATTGTGTTTTTCCGGAAAAGCACGTCGAAGAAAGTCAAATGGGCTGGTAATCCGTACGAGAAGTTCGTCAAAGAAGGGACTGAGGGCTATCTTGAGCCTAGAAAGAGCTTCAAGACGTGGACTGAAATCATCCTTGGAAAATGCAGAGACTGGTCGGAGCAAGAGGTCGAGACGGCAGCTGTTCTTTGTCTTGTTTATGGGAAATTCATCGAGGTGTGGCGACAGAAAGAAGCAGCTTTGCAAAACAGCTTGTTACAGAAACTCCTCCTTTCCAATTCCGCACATGAAGTTCGCACACCACTCAATGCAATCATCAACTATCTGGAGATTGCTCTTGAAGGAAACATCGATCGGGAGACAAGGGATAATCTATCAAAGTCACATTCGGCTTCAAAATCCCTTGTCTATGTGATCAATGATCTTCTGGACCTAACCAAGACCGAAGAAGGCCAGGACCTTATTAAAGAGGAGGCCTTTGATTTTCACGTTATGCTGCAGGAGGCAACCGAACCTTTTCGGGGAGATGCTCAACGCAAGGGTATCGAATATCAAGTCAGCTGGGGCGATGATATTCCTCAACGCCTGGTGGGAGACCCTCGCCGGGTACGTCAGGTTGTGTCCAATATCATCGCCAATGCCATTCAAAACACCTCCACTGGCTTCGTCAAGGTTGCCGTGGGCAAATCGCCCAAGCAGCCAAGCCCTGACAAAGTTGAGATTGAGTTTGCCGTCGAGGATTCCGGTGCTGGGATGCCACAAGACAAGGTTGATGCACTCTTCCGGGAGCTCGAGCAAGTGTCATATGAAAATGAAGAGTTAGGTTCTACCGTTCTAGAACAGAACGGCATCTCCACGTCTCCTACTACAGGTGCTGGCAAAGCTACCTTGGGTCTGGGATTGGCAGTGGTTGCTAGAGCCATCCGAAACATGAATGGTCAACTGCGGCTAAAGACCGAAGCAGGCACAGGATCACGATTCATCATTCAGCTTGTAATGGGCGTGCCTGGTGAGGCAATCGACGGGGGTCAATTAGAAGGCTCTAGACTGAGGAATCTCGGGTCTTCGCCAGATCAAGGAGCCGATTTACCTGCCAACCCAAGGGACGCTGCATGGCCTGTTAGCAGAAACACAAAGAAACGAGTACAGACACTGCCGATGTCACGAAGAACCAGTCAGGAGAGTGTAACCAGCGTCAATAGTAAAGCCAGCTTGCAAAGCATGAAAAGTGGCAATAGCATCAGGAGCACGAAAAGTGATGTGGACCGTCTTATAGATGATATACAGCGGCCGCATCTCGTTCCGGAGACAGAGACACCTGATAGGAACCGAAGCCCAGGATCGAGGCCAAGAAAGCTCAACAGGTCGTGTAGTACTGGTGATGAGCCATCAAGCCTAGTTGGTACTAGGGTTGGGAGATCAGCTAGTCTACAGGTTCCAGGCGAGGAGAAGATTACAGATTCCCGAACGCCTCTCAAAGCCATACGTGTATTGGAGGATGATGTGGGCAAGCCCAGAGAAGCACCCCCCAAATCTGCCTCGAGGGTTGCTTTCGAGCTTCCTGAACCTCCAAAAACAATTGTTGCGCCCCTCGACGCGGAGAAAATGTCCGTTCTCGTTGCAGAGGACGATCCAGTCAACAGCAAGATCATCAAGAAAAGGTTGGAGAAACTGGGACACGTTGTCCATCTTACAGTTAATGGCGAAGAGTGCTCCAGTGCTCTAGGAGATCGTCCGTCCTTCTATGATGTTGTTTTGATGGATCTTCAGGTAAGTGGTGCACAATCGGTCAGGGCTACACTGTTCAGCTGACGTTGCTGGGTCAGATGCCGATAGCAGATGGCTTCACCTCCACCAAGATGATAAGATCGTTCGAGAAGACACATGGAAACGCCTGCTTGTCTGCCCGCGCCCAAGTTAACGGCCGGATCCCAATCTTCGCTGTCTCTGCATCCTTACTTGAAAAAGACCGAGAAATTTACGTGAACATCGGATTTGATGGTTGGATCCTCAAGCCAGTCAATTTTCAACGAGTAGACAGCCTGCTGAGAGGGATAGTCGACGAGAAAACCCGTAATGATTGCTTGTTCGAGACGGGTCAATGGGAACGTGGCGGCTGGTTCGAGAAACGGCAAGCGCCCGACGATATTTTCGCCACTGACACAACACCGAGCACTGAAGCCTCAATTTCGGCCTCCCCGAAACCGCCGGCCAGTCTAGCAAAGGCTGACACTCTCTGATATTGAGCCATACAATCGACAGGCGGCTTGTCATTCCATGATGTCCGTGGGTAAGGATCTTCGTCGTATTATGGCCAGGCTAGGGCCAGTCCACGGTGATGAATGCATCCCCATTCCTATTTGCGAACCCGTTTAGATACTTTCATATTTCTTGAGCATGCAGCGTTTGGAGTTCTCTGTCCCAAGACATGGCAGGCGTTTGGGATTGGTGTGTGGCATATCATGTCCTGATAGTGAGCATTTACGCAGGTCTTGACTGCATGATTTAAGAGACAGGGAAAAGGCATGGTTTTTGGGTCATGGTTCGGACTTGCAAGACTTAGAATCCAAGCAGTCAGCCCTCCAGAAGGCTTCCGCTACAGGATAGAATATCAGCAACAATGTTGTTTTATTTTTCAAAAGAAAAAAAAAGGCGTTCAGTCGGGCGCTTCTCCTGATTCCTTTGCGGCCGCCACCAGCTCCTTGACTTGTCGATTCTTCTCGCGCTTCTTCAGCTTCTTTTCTCTGTTCTTCCTGGCGCGCTTCTCCTTCTCCGTCTCTGCTGCCCGCACCTCTGCCGCGTGCTTTTTCCGCATCGCGATTCTACGCTTCTTGCCCGCCCGTGCTCTTCTCTGTGTCCCGTTATCTCTGCTCTCTGCCCTCGTAGGCAATGTCTTCAGCGACTGCGCCAGACTGGAAGCAGGGACGCGAATCCCCCGCCATGGCAACGCGGCACCGGGCTGTCACGACGCATCATCAGCTATCATTCTCTCAGCGCGTCTGGACCACGGAGCCCTCACGAACCCAAGCCGTACTCCTAGCCGCAGACATGACATCCTGCCCATCCACAGCCACATCCCTGTACTCATCATCCCTCCTCTTTCTCCTACCCTCCGCACCCGCATCCCCAACCGAAGTAAAGTAATAAATCCGCGGCCGGCACGGCACCACGAATCCACCGCCCTCCCCCCGCTCC